GGTCTTAATAACCTGATCCTGTATTGCACAGGCAAAACCCTCGGTTTCCCCGAAGAGGTCACCAAAGCGTAGCCAGTGGAGGGAGGTTACTGTGTCTACGAAAGGCCCATGTAGAGACTTGTAGAACCTCCCGTGGAGCTCCTTCTCCTTCCATACGGTCTCCCCGGTCGGAAATTGTCTGCACTGCCGGGTCTTGCCATTGCTCGTTGGCTAAGGATAGAGGGGTAAGTCCTTTATCACAAGAAATGACGTCCTTATAGAATGAATCATCCGATCTCGCCAGGAAGTAATTACGGAGGCTGCACACTTCGCGATTATGCATAGAGCGCGCTCAAGAAGCCACGCCCACCATGCTTTCGCGGCAAGTACAGCGTCATTACCGACGATCTCGGATGATGCATCCTGTGGGACGTCATGGTAGTGCGGACTTTTCTATCCAGGGCGTTAAGTTCAGTCTGAGTCCACCTGAGTATGCCAAAGGTATACATGAGGACAGGCATGACCCAGCCGTTATATGCTTGTGTCTTATTCACACCGGACAAAAGGCTGTTAAGCACTTTGGTCAAGCGTGCATAAAACACGTCGCAAACTGATTAATAACAACAATAATAATAAAAATTCTTTATTTTCTCCACAATCTAAAAAACTAGTATAGTAATGAACAGAGGTTTTCACCAGGGAAAAAACATATTTAGATTGTGAGAGACTGGCGTCCGAGCTAGGCTAAGAGCCTGTGTTTCAGAGCACCAGTACTCTCCTCACAGGATGTGGATCATTATGGTACAGATAGTGATTGCAAAGTAATCAAAAAAGAGAGAAAAGAGAGAGAAATGGTGTGTGTGTTTGTGTGTATGTGTGTGTGTGTGAGTGTGTGTATGTGTGTGTGTGTGTGTGTGTGTGTGTGTGTGTGTGTGTGTGTGTGTGTGTGTGTGTGTGCGTGTGTGCGTGTGTCAGAGTGGGTGTGGGCGTTAGTATATTACCTACCTGATAGGATGGAGGAGAGATTCAGTCTTCTCATAGTTCATAGTCTGCAAATAATTAGAGATTTTGGATTTGCAGGACAGTTTTGTAAGAGGAAAGATGTTGAGCACACGATGTAGTCTATTATAGAGGAACGGGCCCAAGAAACAGAAAAAGCGTTGTGAGGTTATGGTTCTAAACGGGGTTGAACGTACTACAAGGTGATTTCGCTGGGAAAACATTAAAGAGGGATCATAGCTACAACTACTATGTTGTTTGAGGACAGTTAATAAAATAAAGAGTTGGCGAACTGAAAGAACCTCACAATACTGATAAAGATCGAAGGTTGGTGATAGCAGGGGTTTGAACGTGCAGACTTTGAGGACCGCTCTTTGGGCTCTTTCCAGCTTAATTAGTATTGACTTACTCGCGCCACCCCAGGTTGTTAAACAGTAGACTATAAGTGACTGACAAAGTGCTAAATAGACTGATCTAACTAGACAAGGATCTGCGACTTGGCGAAGATTTTTAAAAACGAACATAAGTTTACGGAGTCTACAAGCGGTGAGGTTGATGTGGGGCTGGAAGGTCAGTTTATTGTCTATAATAATACCTAAATATTTTGTGGAATCGGTTGAGGTAAGAGGTTCACAGTTACATGAGAAGAAGGGGTGGTCAGAATGGGAATGACCAATTAATCGAAAATTTTCTAATGCTTTGGGTGGAATACTGCGGAGGGAGAAGGAGATATACTGGGTTTTTTTGGAATCGAGAGTGAGTAGATTAGTAAGGAGCCAGAGAGAGACTAAGTTGAAACCAGATTGGGTAAGTTCAAAGGTATCTTTCCAGGAGCAGGCCGAGAAAATTAGCGCGGTATCGTCTGCAAAGGATACAATCTTACAACTAGGAATTTTGAGAGAGCAGAGATCATTGATATAGACCAAGAAGAGAGTCGGGCCAAGAATGCTTCCCTGGGGAACACCGTAACTCATGGATAGTTCGGAACTCACTTTTCCATTAATAGTGACAGCCTGGTTTCGGTTTGAAAAATAACTCTGGAAGAGGGATAGTTGGGTACCTCTGACACCAATTGCCTCCAGTTTAGACAAGAGGATGGGAATCGAAACCGTGTCAAAGGCCTTGGCCAAGTCCAGGAAGACCGATAAACATTTATTACCCTTGTCTAAGTTTCTAATCACATGATCTGTGAGAGAGTGAACCGCATCTGCTGTAGATCTGCCAGATCTAAAACCAAATTGCTCAGGGGACAGTAAGTTCATTTTCTCAAGGAATTCGATTAACTGGTTGTTGATCAGCCTCTCCAGGATCTTAGACAAGGCGGGTAAGACCGAAATGGGGCGGTAATTATTGGGCTGGCTTCGATCCCCACTCTTGTGAATGGGGTGAACTAGGGCTTTCTTGAGGGCATCAGGGAAGCAACCTGAAGAAAGACTCAGGTTGCATAAATGGCATATAGCAGGAACTAGAATAGATGAGGGAATATTATCCCACCCAACCGCACAGTTTTCCTTGAGTGATGAGATGAGAGAGTCAACTTCGAATGGAGTGGTATTAAGGAGAACAAAGGTCTGATTTGAGCGAGGTATTGGGAATTTTTGTGGGGAGGGAGTAGAGGCAATAAGTATATCCTCAGCGAGAGATTTACCAATATTTGCAAAAAAAGCATTTGTGCTATCAAGTGATTGGGAGGTGGTAGACTTAAAAGTGAGGAGGTCGTTGCAGTTGGAGTGCTGTTTGTTCATGTTTGTAACATCTCTGATAGCGTTCCATATTTTTTTATTATTATTTCCAGCCTTATTTATCCGCCGGCACCAATAAAGGAGCCGTGGTATCTCAGTGGTTAACGCTCGCTGTAAACACAACAGAACGCAAGTAACCCGGGTTCGATCCCCGCCGGCACCAATGAAATTGTTAATTGCAATTTTAAGTGCTGATTTACCACGTGCTCGGCGGTGAAGGAAAACATCGTGAGGTAACCTGCATGTCTGAGGAATAAAAAAAAAATATTTCGAAGACATGTGAAGTTCGTCAACACGCATTTCGGCAGCGCGGCGGACATTTCCTTGCCCTAAACCCTCTCAGAAATGAGGGGAGGCCTGAGCCCAGCAGTGGGACGTTTATAGGCTGTAACTTTACTTTACTTTTTTACTTTTATCCGCTCTCTATCATATGCTATCCTAATCTTCCTAAGAAGGGAATTGCAGAAATTACGGTAGCGACAGTAAGTTTTTCGAAGTATGTAATTTTGGGGGGTCTTTTTTAAGTTTCTTACGCATGCCGTCTCTATTTCGAATACATCTTAATAACCCAGGAGTCATCCAGGGTTTGAGAATCCTTCGTCGGCTGGCCAAGAGCTTGGGCTTGGAGTGTTGATCTATCGCAGCCTGAAGTTTACTAATAAACAGGTTAGTTGCTTGGTTAGGATCAGTGAGCTGAAGTACATCGGAGAAGCTTACTTTTTTTAAGGTGTCCATAAAGTTGGGGATGTCAATCTTTTTTGAGACTTTGGATAATGAATGTGATATATTCTTCATATAGAGGACAAGTAAGATAGCGTCCTGGTCCGTAACTGAGGATTGGATCATAAGACATTGGGCCTGAAAGGTAGTTTTTAGAAAGAAATGATCGAGACAGGCCAGTTTACGAGTGGGAATAGTATGGGCTGGCAAAAGACCATTGTAGGCGAGCATATTCAAATATGTATCCGTGTTTTGATCAGGGTTTGAGTTTGATATAATATTAATATTGATATCTCCTGCAACAATGATATTTTTAAATTTATTTAAAGAAGCTAAAGTCTGACAAAGAGAATTTATAAAGTTGAGGGGATTTCGAAATGCACATGGTCGATATATAGCTAAAAATACAGTTTCTTGCTGTATTTGGATGAGGAGCGAGCTGGCGTCGACTATTTTCGGGTCAGAAATAGAAACATTAGCAATTGAGTTGTTGTAGTAGACTACGACGCCATCGTTCTGGTTCACTGGGTTAGATGAAGATTGGGATACAAAACTAGGGATATAGGGAATAGCTGGTTCGATGCCGAGCCAACATTCTGTCAATATCAAAACATCCAGGTCTGTGTTGATATTATGTAACAGAGTTAAGAAATTGTGTATGTTGGCCTTTATACTGCAAATATTTTGGGTGAGGATTTTTAATGGCTTAGTACCCAGGTTATTGGCAGCGAGAGCATTTTGAACTTCATGTGGATCACAAGGGGATGCACTGCAAATAGTCACACTATCTATATTTTTAATTAGCTCGATATCGTGTGTGATGTATTAGGGGTAAATAGTACTGGATTGCAAAATGGGGGCCACAATGGAATGTAGCCTCCAATTGCAGGGTATTGGGGAGAGGGGTTGGAACTCCTGTGTGGCAATATTTTGGAGGGGGGGAGGTGTCAGCCGAAACGATGGGACAAACAATAACAGATGTTAGGTTGCTATGTAAAAAATAAAGTTTAAGCCTATATAACAAGACGGGAAGGGATAATATAACAAGGTAATTATGACGAATTGATCGATGGAGTTCAGAGTTAGCAGTAGTATAATATTTAATAAGAATAACTATTGATAGGTATTTTTGTGTTGTGTTTGTGTGAAGAAACATTTTTACGCAAAATGTATTTATGTTAGAGTGTGAGAAGTTTGATGTGGATGTGTATGAAAGAAAATAATAAGTATATAATTTGATTTTGAAATATGTATACAAAACAAATATCGTCTAAGAACTACAATAATATGACTAAAAATGTTATCAATCAGTTTTTTGACTTTAGGTTAGATAGTTGAGATTCACTAGTAAGGACAATGAGTTTGCCATTGTCTTCTTTGCGGAGAAGAACCCTGCAATTTGCTGTCCAACAATGTTTGAAGTTTTCGGCTTTCGCAAACTCGCGGGCCAGATAAAAAAGCCTGCGGGTACGGGCTGTCAGATTTTCAGATACATATATCAGTTGGCCAGGATATTCTGGAGCTAAAACCTTTGCGTTCAACTTACCGCCCGAGTTCTTCTTATTGTATTCCTTGAAGGCCTTCAAGATTTGGTTTTTTTAAGATGACAGAGTTGAGGGTTACAGGTACGGTCTTAGTATCTTGCTTGGAGGGGAGACAACGGATGTCATAAATATCAGAAGTCTGGACTTTAGTAGACAACTCCGAGAAGATGCGACAGGCAATTACTACTTGATCGTCTTGAGATAATGGCAGCTTAATAGGCAGATTGCGGATTTCAATTGAACTGGAGCGGGAGAAGCGTTCGATCTCTTCTGTAGTGTTCTCTAATTTCGATAGGCGGTCACCATAAATCATGTTTTGCGAGTGTACATTTTTGAGTTCTCCACAAATCTCATCATATTTACAGGATAAAAACTCGATGGACTTCTCGATTTCCGAGTTAGACGCCAGTAGGTCCGAGCTGAGTTGTTTTATTTCGTTTATTGACTCCATAATACCCGACAATTTGACATCCGTTTCGTGTTTCCAGGACGTTAGTGAATTTATAAAAACGTCTAACTTAGACTCTGGTGTAGATGCACAATCGCATTCACAACGGCGTCTTTTTGTAGATCGTAATGTGCTATTATCGGGTGTATTACAGCCGTCGTTATTTTGGAGTAGGGTTGGAGCCGATCCATAAGTATTGATTTGCTTATCTGCGGGCGATCTTAACATTTTGCCGTTTAATATAAGATATTGTAGGCCTAAAATAATGTGTTCTAGGCCTAAATGTTCCGACGGCAATTTACAGCGATACGTACGTGAATCACTTGTGAAGGGCGTGACGATCCCCGTAAGAATCCAGCTCCTGCGCAGAGGGCGGGGCGAGCCAATCGACGCTAAGCAGTGCGGAGGGACGCTGAGCAGTGGGATGGGTCAATTACAAGGACGGCACTTAGATAGTTTTGTATGTCACACTCACTTTATGGATGTCCTTGTCCCGTCCGAGACGTAAGCTCTTCTCGGTCAATGCGGCCCTAGTACCTCACAGTATTTTATTAAGAATTCGAGAAATAATTTTTAGCAGAGTTTTCGTAAACATGTCTGACTGACCAGCATCCAGCGGGAGAGAGTGATTGTTTCATACCAGCCTCATCGATACCGATGTTCTGTGACATATCCAGGTATCGGTATGTTTCAGCCTCGGAAAGGGCCCTTATGTTGACGAGCATAGATAAGTCTATGCCCTCAGAGTTAGCAACCCTTCCCCTTTCAACATGGAGGACCGCACACTTATCCGTCCCCAGCTCCATTCCAATAGAATTGCTAAATTCACAAGTGATGTTTAGCAATTCCATAAGATGGGAGCGACTGGAGGCGAATAATTTGAGGTCATCCATATAGAAAAGGTGGGTTACTTTTGTACCTCCCTTCCGAAGCTGAAATCCTCTCCCGGAGCCCTCCTGTAAGGTACTGAGAGGGTTCAGAGAGAGGCAGAACCATATTGGACTCAGACAATCGCCCTGGAAGATACCCCTTCCTATCCTTATGTGGTTCTCCGCAGCCATCGTCCGCTCGCCCAGGTGACAGGATCGTACTCCACTGCCCCATACACTGCTCGAGGAAGTCTCTAACTGTACAGTCTATCTTGTACAGTTCGAGGACTCTCTTTAGCCGTGTATGGGGCACCGAGTCGAGTCGAATGCCTTTCTGTAGTCTATCCAGGCGGCGGAGAAGTTCCGACGGTTGCGTTTCACCACTTTGCCAATGACCACGTCAATGAGGAGTGGTTCCTTGGTTCCACGACCGCCGCCTCAACATCCATTTTGAGCGCGCGGCATCACCTGATTTGAGTCCAGGTGACGAGTGATTCTCGCGCTCAAAATGGATGTTAGTGTCTTGTATATGGTCGGTAGACATGTGATGGGGCGGTATTTGCTCGGGTCTGTGGTACCCTGGCCTTTAGGAACCAAATGGGTGATCCCAGTAGTGAAGAGGCTCGGGAGCGACTTCTGGTTGAGAACCTCTTGAAACTGTCGGGCGAGCACAGTGTGACACACCACGAACCCCTTCAGCCAGTAGTGATGCAGCCCGTCGAGTCCCGGGCTTTTCCAGTTCGGGGCCCTACGGACCGCCTCAACTACGTCATCCGGCGTTATGGTGACGGGGTCCATGGGCGTAATACCCGCACACTGACTCGCCACAACTTCCGTCCAAGGGCCCTCCTTGTGGTTTACGGGCTCTGACCACAGGCTGCGCCAGAATGCGACCGTGTCGGCCTGATTCGGTACTGGGCCCGTTCCACTTACCATTGGTCGCTCCAATGATTTATAGAGCCTCTTCTGATCACTCTGAAAGAGACGATTCTGGCTGAACCGTGTCGACCTCTCGGTATATCGCCGAATTCGCTTTCCCCAAGCAGCGATTCTCTGCTTCAGGTCGTCTATGCGCTCCGTCAGTTTTTGCATTGTATCCGACTGGGACAAACTAACATTTGTCCCAGCAAACGCCATTCTGACGGTGCGCACAATCCTTGGCCTGGTATTGCCTGACCTGAAGCATATCAGTCTGCCGATGAGGGCCCTAGCCTTTGCGATACGTTCTTCAATTCTTCTTCTCCAGGCTGGGATAGCACTACTTTGTCCAGTAGTGTAAATGTAATCCTCATTTGCTCTAGTTCCAGTTCCTGGGCGACTGTTCCGTCATCGTTTTAATCAACCACAACTGGCCTATTCACGGCGGCATCCACATTTGCCGTTTGCTCAGCAAGTTGTGGCGCCGCATCACAGACAGGACTATTCTTGCGAATAAGCCTTATATTGTGCTGATGGACCGGGCACAGTCAAGGATATTTTTGGTCGACATTACCATTCCGTATGACGAGAACCTCGTGAAAGCCGAAACAGACAAGCAAACAAAATATCTGGACCTGGCTCACGAGGTGACCGACATGTGGGGTGGTGTGCCGACCGAAATTATTCCTGTAGTCGTCTCTGCAAACGGGCTAATCCCAGTCAGCCTCTCGGGTCATCTGAGGCGGCTGGGACTACGTGGCGGACCGCTCCAGGTTCAAATGCAGAAGGCGGTGCTCCTCGATACCGCCCGCATCGTCCGCCGGTTTCTTTCCCTTTCCCTCTAACCCTCGGCCGTTTGGTCTCCCCTGCCGAGGGCCTCCATCTGGTTGGGCTTTTATTTATTTATGTACTTTTATATTTATTTTATGTTATTGATATTTATGTATATTTATCTTTTCATTTTCATTTATAATTATATATTTATAGAACCCAACCAGATGAGAAAACTATATAGATACCCCATAATAATAATAATAATAATTATTATTTTTTACAAAAACATTTACCCAATTTGCTGGAGGACGTGCTTATTATTTTCAGAGATATATTATTCCAACAAAATCCAGCGCATTATAGCCGCTTAGTTCGAGAACACCTTAACCAGGAATATCCGGACAGATAGATAGGGCGGGCTGATCCGATCTCGTGGCCCGCCCGCTCACCCGATTTAAATCCTCTAGATTTTTTTTTACTGGGGAGCAGTGAAGAAAAAAGTATATTCCAAGCCGATTGAAAATGTAGAAGAGCTTAGACAGAGAATAGCGGAAGCAGTTGAATTTTGTAATAATGGAAGATTCACCTTCCTGATTTCCACAATCTTTTTTAAGAAGATGTCGGGCTTGTATTACAGCTCAAAGACGGCAATTTGAACATCTTTTGTAAAATAAGTAATAAATTTTATCATAAAAACGAAACTGACTGTCTTAATTTTATAACCATTATTTTATTACTTTACTTTGTATTTGCGTCTGTGTCTCATAAGCGTCACTATTTATCTCGCTCACACTTTATGGAATGTCTCTCTCTATCTCATTTAAAACACGCTGTGGTCATTAAGAACGCTTTGGTTGCACTAAATTCGTTTTAATGTAAGTTCCAAAAAATTTTGAAAACTGACTTTGTTTATCAAACATTTTTTTATGGCTGATCTAAGAAATAATGGAGTAAGTGTTATACCACGTTAGTATCCTGACATCACATTATATATCTACGTTAATGCGCTTAATAAAGCTACTTGCCAAACTGGCGTAGTACCTACAATTTTAAGCTATTGCATAGCTTCTATCGCGGGCCTTGAGCGCGGGGATCGAATCCAGAAATTCCGTAACGAAAAAAAACCTCACGCTCCCCACTCCAACGGGCACGGAGGTATGGCGTTGAAAGCCGTGCATCGTCTAATGTCGTTTCAGTTCGGCAGACTTCGGCACTCGGCAGACTTCGGTACGGTGTTTGTGTGCGTGCGACTAGACGTATGCGTGTACACTAGCTGCTAACTCAATGATAAAAATTTCTGAATAACCTACATGTATTGTAAGATATTAAAAATATTTTAAGCAATATTAACTTCTCATTTATTCAATAAGAGAAAAAAAATTGTTTTCTTATCGGTCACCACGCTCAAAAAGTGTAACTTGATTTAATATCAAAGACTTAACTGCATAAATAAAATAAATAAATAATTATAATTGCATAAGTTGATAAAAAATGCCATGCAATAGCTTTACCGCGGCAGTCACCGAGTGCCACACGTATTATTTTTTTCCAGGACGGTCAGTTGAAGTAACTTCTGTAAACTTGGTTCGGTTTAAAATTACATTTTCTTTCAAGCTAGAGTGATCGGCACAGGGTTTAGGATTACAGGTTACAGAAGCACTATTCAGGATGACGTAAGAGAAAAAAATTGGCAAAAAGTAAATATTTGTAGCAACAGGAATGAAAAAACTGTCTCACTGTGTACATTTTATCGAAAAAAAAAATTACTATAATTTCTGAAATACATGACTTAGATTTTTTTATATTATTCTGGTAACTAGTATGGCCTCACCTATCAGAAAGTTTCGGCTTGACGTCGACTTCTGGGACATCCGATATATATATATATATATATATATATATATATATATATATATATATATATATATATATATATATATATATATATATATATATATATATATATAGATATATATATATATAATAAGAAAAAAATTCGAAGATATGTTAAAATTCGCCAACTCGAACAACCAATTGGGGCAGTGCGGCGGACACTACCATGCCCTAATACCTTCTCGGAAAATAACTTATAATTTTTACCTATATTGGAAGCCACAAAAATACATACTCAAAAAGAAAAGAGAATATGTGGTGTTAACTTCAACCGCTATGTTTCTTAATGGTTTTCTAGATGTCATGTTTAAATGACACCAAGAATTGATTAGATTTCGCAAAAACACCAAACTGTTCATTATACGTGCGAGTGAATTGCGAGAGGATTTGTTTTCTCCTTATTTATTTTTATTAAATCAGACGTGTGATTATTTAGGCAATAATCATTTTTTACGTGTAAAACAGTGCAATATATGAAATTTTTATCACTATATTAATACGTTGGGAAAAATAAAGTGTTATAAAAAATACTTCCTAAAATAATATTTCTTAACAAACTAAAAATAATGTTTACAAGTTTGTGAAGATAAAAAGTTTTCAATTCTGACGTGCAGTCCTACTTATAACAGTTTTTTTAAAGTAAAATTTTATTTTTGCTAGAAATAATAAGGGTGACAAACGACCATACAGTCCACATAAAGTAAATGGGAAGAGAAATATAGAACTTTCTAAGTCAATCAACTATTCACCTCTTTTGGTGGGATATAACTAGAATTTTTGATTAATAAAAAATATAGAATTTACGATATGTCTAAAGGATAAGAGGCTTTTTGCGCATAATCATAAGACAGCGTCTTACACCTGCACACTGATAGAGTAATTTGACCCTTATCTTCGGGAATATTATTGTGCAACGTGATGCAACACATAACTATAGATTATTTCTAGGATAGGCGAAAAACCGTTAAAGACACATTGTATTATGCTTGCGTCGATAAAAATGACACCTATCGCTTGCCTTATAGTATTACTTGTCAGCATTTTTCTGTCCTTTTCGACGACCCTTTGTCATTTCCTATTAAAAATCCTTAAATTCGCAAAAAAATAAGCGTCACTCATGGGCAAAAAAAGCTATCCTATCTCTCAAGTTGAACTAAAATGCACACGGTGTGCAAATTTGATTAAAATCGGTTAAGTAGCTTAAGAGTCCATCGCGGACAAACAACGTGACACGTAATTTATATATATTAAGATATATTTTCTTATCGCTAACACTTAGCAACGCGCTTATTGGTACGGCGTACGGTTAGAGACGCGGTTATTTTGAGATAGAAAACATTGGTATTGCAAGGCATTGATTTTGAAAATAGCGACACTAAAGTGGAATTATTTATATGAGTAAAACACTAAAAAGACAAAAATATGTCTTATGTTACCAACGATTGCGACCCGACCACCGCGAGCTCAATCTTATTGACCTGAAGTTGGCAGTAACCGTGAAAGCATCGACAAAAAAAGAACAGTATCATCAGCAAAGGTGATTATTTTTCCTTTAGAGAATTTAAACCGGCATAGGTCATTAATATATACCAAAAATACTGTCGGGCCGAGAATATTGCCTTTAGGTACACCAAATTTGACAGGTAACTCGTCAATTAATGTATAATGATCAAAATGAACCCGCTGCCTTCGATCGGTCAAATAATCTTCCATCATACTTCCATGGTGATGTTGCCCGAAATATGTCAAGAATCTGTTTGAAGAAGGCTTTAATAAAATTGATGCCACTAATAGGCAAAACTGTGTCGATTACTAAACAAAAAAATAAAATAAATTATATGGCCTGGATCACGTTGTGGATAAAACTGTCGAGTTTTATAATTAATGTTACGGACTCCTCTGCGTGTTTGTCATCAGAGAACGACAGTGAAAATTAATATTGAATTGAATGAATCTAAATTGGTCTAAGGAGTGCGCTAAATACGTTTTCTTACTTCTGATACTTTTTCAGTTGTCAAGATCTTCTTTAGATTCAGGACATATATAAATAATCAATATCATTTATACGTACAATAGATTTTCAGTACGAGGTTTTACTCGCGTATAAGTTATAACGTCCATACAGTCATGACCTACACTTATATTGCATAATATAGAAATTTAAAGCAGTAACTACGGTCTTTCGAATAGTGGAAACGGCTCCAACAATCTTTGTCTACTCGTAAAGTGGATCAAAAAATCTTTCTCTACTCGAAAAAGTGGATCGATAAAAATTGGTATTTATACCAATTTTTATCGATCCACTTTTTAGATAGGGACATAAATTTTGCAAAGTTGTAAAATATTTACTATCCATAAATAACATAATTTTGTTTTTAGGGTTTCCTCAACATCTTGCAAATTAAAAATGGTTTTATGGTTGGATTTTTTTATTTAAATAAGAGAGTCATTACAAATCATCTCGCACGCGGACTCGACGACTCAACCTCCTGAAAAAGTCGGATTCA